ATTTGAAAGTCTCATGGCATCTTCTTCATTTTTGCTTGATTGGTTAAACCTGCGGCAGCAATCCTGATTGGTTCCTAAAAAGGAGTGACATGGGGACAGATTATACACCATTTTGTTGATCGATTTATGCCTATAATCTGCCACATTAGTACCAGTTCCGTGTAAAGTCTAAAACGTTTTTGATATGCAACCGAATTTCGGCTGAAATATAGGAAAAAATTGAGTCATTTCAACCGTTCAAATCAGGAAATTCTGAGGATTCTGGTTTTTGAGAATTTTCAGCCTCGAAAGGCAGACAGTCTCAGTCGAAAGCTCGATGAGATGGAATGCCAGATGGGATGTGAAAACTCACAATTTTTAACCTCTGTATTTAATCTTAAAAAAGTACGATCTTAGACAACTTCCTCAAACCAAATTCAAGTGGATAGATGTAGTTGCTGGCTGCTATTTTGGCTAAGAATTTTGCGATATTCGGTTCAAATGACTTGCTAATTTTGCCTCGATTGGTGAGTACAAAATAAGGAATTAACATTTAGACACAGAACAATAACGCCCCTGGCTGCTAGCACCTATCTTCATCTGTAAAAATCTAGAATTGGACGGCTTTTAGATGCAATCCTAACTCCTAGTTTTTAAACTGACCTCAAGCAAACACGACCGCAAACCCGCATACCGAAATTGTGTACTGTAGTCGGTTGACCGAAATCTAATTTGAATAACTAAATTTAAACAAATCATATAAGAAACCCCTATTTTCGCACAAAAGGTACGTTTTTATGATTGCCCAACCGACTTCTCTGTAATAGGTTTTGGTAGAAAGGCAAAAAATCATGTCCTTTTGTTTATTTAGACACCTCCCGTTGTGCTATTTGATTGGTCAAAGACGCTGAATACATGATGCGATTTAGCTGTGACTGCGTGTCTGAGTAATGGGGCTTGTTGATCAATACGGTCAGGCTGAACGTGTAAGAGTAAACGCAGCTGATTGGCCAGATGAAGTAGAGGTCAGTGTAGCGGAGAGTCAGCGCGATTCACCGTACAGATTTGTTGCGTGAGACTTTCGCAAACAGGCTCGCATGAGCGAGCAACTCGTCGGTTTAACGCGTCACGCGTCGATGGGTATTCCTCTAATTGCAGGGTACACGCCGACGCGCAGTAACATACGAAAGCAACAGGAGTTGCGGATAAACAAACGGACTTTTCCCTAATCAATGGGCATCTCGTGCGGTATACCGCCCTCAAATGGCCATTAATCATTTGAATAATTTACGGTGAAGCCAATTTTGTTTTCTACTAAATTAAGCAAACACCATACTGCTAATCTGAAGCGTCAAACAGTCTTCTGTAATTTGTTTGAAGAATGGTAAATCTCTGTTGATTTTTTTGCTGTATTCTTGTGAGACAGAAAAAAACAACCCTCTTTACTCGAATTGTGTGGCAATTTGACCTGTTTTAGTACTAAGTGCTTGGTAGAATAAATATATATCCGGAAATGATTTGTCGTTTTACGATCCTGAATTGTAGTCTTCAAATGGACTCTTCTGATTCAGCTGCCTCAGTAACTGTCAACCAATCCCAGAAGAAAGCGCGTAGTTGCTTCTTTCCGCTTATTTGTAATTACCGCGCGTATGGGTTAGCGCGCGGTTTGTTCAAACTTAATCGGTTCATTGGTGATGTCAAATGATTAAGCAAGTGGCTATCAAGGTGGCTCAAAATCAGTCGTTTTGTAACTGATACATGTACTAACGTCATCAAAGCCTTGATGTACTCACTTTGCCCACGAAAAGCTTACTACATTACTTGGTGCCATCATTCAAAGCCTAAATTTGGACAACGTGAATCCTTCGAGGACTCGGTCAAATACCTAGTGACTTTTTACTTTACATTTTATTAAATTCGTGCTACTGAAAGAAACAAGTAAGCTTAATCAAGTTGCCATGGCGTTAGTGGACGCATGATGTTAATTAAGAGTGCAGAGAATAAAGCGGTCAATCGTGCTAATTCAGAGCTGTCACCGTGGTTCACACGTCCCGCGGAATCACTTGACCTGGTTCTTGGGCGTCCACAGCCGTCGCCCCACACTGACTCCCCTTCTCTGTAGTGATTCTTGTGTGCATAGCGGGGTCATGCATAATTGAGAGTAGCAGATGCTCTCCGAAGGCACGCAAATTATGGTGGTCGTTAATCGATTAGTTTAGGATGAAGTAGCATAGATACACGCGTCTGAGTGATAAAGTACATAAGACGCCAGACAGGGGAGGTGTGTGAGCACACGTGCGCAGTCCGAGTCGCCCATACCAATATATGTGATATTGGAGATAAGCATTTATCAGGGTCCTTATACATGCATTATATCATAACTTATCACTTCTCAAGGTACTACGTGCCAAATCACGCCAAAACGATGTTGCAGGTTCGAAGAACATTGGCGTTCACAAAATCGTAAGCAAATAACAAGGAACTCGTTTTCCTTTAATGGAATGGTCTATGGAACAATAAAAGTTTTCACGCTCTCAATTTTAAGCCCGTCATTTGATTTTCTTAAAAAACACTTTTACTAAGGCCCACAAACAGAATTAGCTACATTACACGAAATCGAATGATATGCTGATTTGAAAACTAGGAAATTTGCGAAAATTAAATTCAGGTCACAAATTGATTGCTGAAAATTAAAACAAAACCATGTGGCATGGGGAATTACGTGACAGGTAAGTGTACTAAAAACTCAATAGCTCATAGAATAGATTTTATCTCAGATCGCGAATCAAGTTCTAGCAAGAGAATAACAAGTAAAATGAAAAATCATTACTATTCGATAAGAGGTCTTTGAGGCATTATTTCACGAAGACGCATACTTTACTTTGGTTTTCTGAAGCGATTAAATTCAGTTATTGGCGGTTAAAATTCTTTAATGAAAAAACAAGCATCCAACTCGAAACTATTTGCAATAATAAATTGAGACTAGTTATAATGTGATATTAAATACTGTATATAATTAAATGAGCAATAAATTATGGTGCATTTTTTGCAAAAATAAACGACGTGAATAACAGACACAAGGGCACAGCGACAAAATTTAAATTCAACTACTTCTTCTGCGTAAACGTAGCTAATTATTGAATGTCAGTAGAAGAATCGGCTACAAAATGCAGAGTGACTTCTGAAAAACAGGAAGTACGTCAGCTGTCTGCATAACAATCAATAAATATTGCAGCGAAAATCACACCGCATTTACAATCATTCCAATGCAGATCAAAAGTTTAAGACAACAAAATAATAAAAAAATGTCCACAAAACTGTTTATCTTGTCAGCGTACTCACTTTCCTTTTAAGTATATCGCAAAAACACAAAATTACAATGTAAGTGTCATGAAAATTCGTCAAATATAAAGATGGCGGATAGCAAATAACATTTGTAATAAAAAGTGTACATCACCACAAATCAAACACTGGTAAATTTATTTTAAGTTTTGTTATAGATGCTCACTTATTTACTTTTGCTGACAAGTGAAATTCGTAGAGAGTACTTTCCTCCATGAATCTATCAATTTTTTTTATCAAATTTTGATATAACGATAACGAAAATGCGAGTGCATATTCATTTCGAAATAAAATTTACTGTAAGTCTTTTGGTAAACAACGATTTTTGCAAAATATTAAAGGAGATTTTGATTTTCTGAATTTATATCAAAAGCAAATGTCATTTGGGTTAATATATTTGCAACTGTCAGAACGTAAAGAGTGTTTTTTTACTTAAACAGGAAGAAATCATTAACCGCTATTAGTTAATCAATTGTGCATCCAAATCCATTCGAGCTTGAAGAATTGAACACACACTTAAATTGACAACGACATGTTGACAAGATATGCAAATAAATGAAATATAGTGCAGCCGGAAATGGCTTCAGCATTTTTTTTATCTCGAAAATTTTCCTATTGCAAATTTAATGTTTTTGAGTAATAGTAGACGTAACAAGTCTAATTCTCAGAACACTATGATTTACATATCTAGAATAAGCAAACCAAAACCGGGAAACACAATATAAGTTTGTGCAGTAACAAAATCATTATTATAAACGAGACAAAATGGGTCAGAATATAACAAAAAATAATTTATACCTACATTTCATTCTATACTCTGATTACAAATTTTAGACTTTTTTTCAATTATGTTAAGGAATTATTTGCTTAATTGTCCGATACATATTAATGATCAAAGGTACAATGCTAAACAACACCTGAGTGAAATGCGTTAATATCATGGTCAAATATTTGAAGTGGAGAAATGTTAAATATATCGCAGATCATTTAACTTGCTATTGCAGCATATTATAATAAAGATGCTTTGTAATTTAATCAAAAAAAATCATGATAAAAGAGGTACATAAATTTCATGTTACTGAGAAATATTTATTTTGGTCCAAAACAAAAATCCGAAATAAATTGCAACAGACAAACTTCCTTTCACGTTTAAAATGTTATAAAATAATAAAAAAAAAGGATTTTAACTAAGCTTTTATTTTAAATAACTATGGCTGTGTTACCTTAAAGGTGAAAATAAGTTTGCAGTTTGTTTTAATCGTCGATTCAGTAGTCTCCGTAAATCTAAAGCGCTCGTGTCGTGATGGTGGGTTGATTTCTCGGTTTTTTGTTGTGCATATCGCCCCTCCTGAGTCTGTAGACTTAGTTGTTTTTTTGTATAAGGGTTATTCCATCATTGATGTTGCTGTGGAATTGCTTGTTTATTATGCACGTTGCCGATGTAGTAACGGGAATTAAAACGCTTGTGTTTGCTCTATTCAATGGCTCACAAAATGCTTATGGCCAAGTTCAAATATTTCGTGTAGATTATGCAACTGAATCTGCATCTCCCACGTTTTAAACGTGTAACTTAGACAATTATATTAGGGTAACCCTGGTTCTTTTAGTGTAATGATGCTATGTGCTTTCCTTAATTCAAAAGTGCTTCTTGCTACTTCTAGGGTCGTGTCCGCACCAAGACAGTCAAAAAGGTTGCTCGAGTTCTTATTGAGAGCTATTATGGGAAGCTTACCCGCGATTTTCACACAAACAAGCGTGTGACGGCTGATGTCGCTATAATCGGTTCAAAGAGACTTAGGAATCGTATTGCCGGATTCCTCACTCACTTAATGAAGCGAATCCAGGCGGGGCCTATTCGCGGCATTAGCATTAAACTGCAGGAGGAGGAACGCGAACGTCGCGACAACTACCAGCCCGACGTGTCTGTTCTGAGCATGATGGTCACTGAACTGGATCCGGTTTCTACAGCCATGATCAACAGCCTGGTAACTTTATTTTACGTCAATTTCTTATACACGTCAATTCTTTTAGACCAAGTCTCGTCCAACTCAGAAAGGAGGTCGATAGTGTACATTTTGCATAGAAGGAAAAAAATGGATTGTTTACGATTAGCGTTTTAAACCTCTTTGTGGTTGGGTTTTTGGTCTAACCATCCAATTTTATTAATCGATATGCTTTTAACTGGATTTAGTTGAAGTTCCGTCTTGTGGTTTGAAATTAATAAGTGGTACGCTGAGGGCGAGTTTGTGTATTCTATCTTTGGGGTACCGTTTGAAGTGCCACACTTTTCGATGTTGCGATCATGCGTTGTCTGTGTTTGAATACTGGTCTCGAGGTGTTTTTGCACACCAGGTGTAAATGCGTTGTGTTGGTGAAGGCTGTCTGCATGCTGGCATGGTACCTCGCGTTTGAAGCTGTCAGGATTCCGGAAGTCAGCTACCATCAGTGGGTGCTGGATCAGTGGATATCGGGTTCGTGGCAGCGTTTAGCTTTAAACGTGCTGACGGTAGAGTTTTGCGGTCATGCTGTTTCGCAATTCAGGTCGCAGAACTTCTTGTGGGGGCACAACCGTCCCGCCACATATCTATTTGGCGAAACCTTGTTACAAGCTTAACGTTAGAGATCGCATTGGGGCCTCACGGCGAGATGCATTTTGCTGCATTTACAGGATATCGCCACCTTAGGCGTCAGCCCAACCCCCAACGTTTCTCGAATGTACCGCATACTCTGCAAATCCGGAGGGTCGCTCGTCTTAGGGCTTAGTTTGATCACACCAATTGAAATGCAAACCCAGCGTCCCAAAATCGTTCGATTTGATGGACGCGGTAGCTACACAGTAATGCAAGCTGGTCTCCATGGTTAAATTCACAAACACGCGAAGGTACTTGAAATAAATGTAATCGGGTCGGTGTAAAAACTTAGGGTATAAAATAATGTGATAAGTTTTGGCGTAATCACGAGGAGTAACCAGTAGATGGGGATTGAGTCAGTCAACACGGGAATGCAAGATGTCAAAGGCGCCTTTCTAGCATTGGAATGATGGGGACGGGGATTTCTTCAATGAACTGAGGTTCTCCATGCTGTGACGGAACATCGAGCCGGATCCAGTTCGTCGATGGATGAAGTTAGAGATGTTGATAGAGTGTACATGAGATCTCATACTGGAAGTCTCAGAGCTCTTGCGCAGGTGGCCGTTGTGACTGCCGTTTGGGGGAGGTGTCTGAGCGTTGAAAGGTGGCTGCGAATCCGCCTCGTCGCGTTTGTACTTTTCGTACTTCTCACTGAGTTGCTGAAACCAAAGCAAGACAAGTGTATTACAGTTGGAAAAAAACTCCTGAGCTTGGTGGCAGGCAACCCAGTCGCGACTTACGACTAGTTTGCGGAGGAGGCGGTCAGCGTGAGCCTTCAACTCCAGTTTGTGTTCATCGTCAAGTTCTTTCAGCCGACTAGTCTCCTGATTGGCGAGTTGGGTCTTCTTTTCCGACTGCTGCTCGTCCAGTTCAACAAAACGGGCCATTAGATCGCGATCTAGCGCCTGCAGTTGCATCTGGTGATGCTTGTTTAACAGGTGGAGAGCCTCCGTCGCTCGCATCCGTTCCATCTCGTCTACCTACAAAGCACCGCGCACGTCGGTGATGCAGCGACATTCGACAGAAAAGCGCCGCCGTTTTTAGGGCCCATTTACCTTTGCCGTTGCCTCCTTCACACTCAACCCATTTGGAGGTCCATCGTCACGCAGCCTCTTCTGATAAATGGCCATTCTGCGCTTGCGAGAAGCCTTCTCGTTCTTGAGGAACGCCTTTTTCTCCAGGGCCTGGGCCGCAAAAAGTCGCTCCTTTTCAGCCTCTGCGGTCTACGGACGAGGAATAACAATTAGGTTAGATTGCAACAGCAGATGGTAACTTCTGGGGGTTGTTAGCGAGCCTCACCTCACGGAGTTCGAGCAGCTGAGATGCAAGCCGCTTCGCGAGCAGTTGCCTGTCCGCCATCGCGAAGTCCTTGAGCTGACTCCGCGCTAGCTGGTGGCGCATGTGCATGTGGCGCTGCTCCATCCTACCCTGTTCTTTCGTCGAGTCTAAAAGGTACCAAGTGGTGGGCAGTCTAGCTAATCCAAAACAAACGTCCGACAGGCAACACTAATTAAAACACTCCCGCAAAGCACCCGACAGTTGGAGGCTTTAAGTTGCACTGCCGAGGTGTCTCACGTCATCACAACAGGCAAGTGTTGAAACGCAAAACGAATAAACACTGGTGTCGATTTCCCTAGACAGTATGACTTAAAGTGTACAGATTTTTTCTTCGAAAAATAAGAATACATTTAAAACGTTTCATTTGAAGTGGTGGTTTCGATCTTAGTGACCAGCTGCGCCCCGGACAGCAGCCTCGAAAGGCTGAAGGTACGCAATTGCAGGCTCTACTGGATGAAAACGCAACAATGGCCTGCAGCTCACCTAGACGTCGGCATGTTTTAGTGGACAAACAGTTCAAGACGTTGGATGGTGTGCGTTAGCTCGTTGACGAGGTCTTGATTGCCTCGAAGCCTGTAGGTTCCTTTCGTGACGGCATGCGTGTTACCTGAGAGATGGCACAAGGTCACAGAAGACGATGGACAATATTTCCAAGATTAAAATCTTTGATCTCTGCTTTTTGGTATTAAATAAATTGGCCAGAAAATCTGTACACCTAAAATTTCATGGAAGAGGCACTTTCATGTCTAACATATCGAATTCGGCCCTAAAGAAATCGTCGCGCAAAAGCAAGCGACGCTGAAGGTTAGGAAATGGCCCAGATACGAGAGGACCCAGCGCCGTCAGCGTCACTTACTCAGGTTGATATTGTACTGATCGGTGCGCAACTGCGCTTCAAGCTGCACGAGTTTCTCCTCGTGCGCCGCCTTCAGCTGTGCCAGGTCCGCACACCACGAGGCCTCCTGTGCTTCTCGAAAGGCGATGGCGTCGCGATAGTATTCGCCGATCGGGGCCGAGGTATCGGCCGATGCGAGGGTCCGTTCGCGTGCTGAGGTGGGACGAGGGGTGCCCGAGGCGACGCCGCAGACGGTGTCGCGCACCTCCCGGTAAACGGACTTGCGCAGGGTGCGCGACGACACCGTGTACTCCAGCTTCGACTTGAACTGATCCAGAAACGCCTTCTCGGCTTGAGCCTAAGGTGAAAATAAATTAAGTCGGAGTTGGGTAAGGAACCATCACTATAAAGTGGAAACACGTAGCTCTGATAATCGGAGTGCTAACCGAGAAAGAAATTGACACAAAATGAGATACTTGTATCACTAGGATTGTCAGCAGCATTACTAATTGTGGCAGTGAAAAACACAGAAATGGAAATTACGTTGGCGTCTTGAAGAGCCTTCAAGTCGTTTTCATACTGTACTTGAAGGCGATCGCGGTTGGCCTTGTACTTCTTTGCCACCAACTCCAGTTCCCTCGTCAAATTCCGATGCAGTTGCTGAAACGAAGCATGAAGGGTGACTAAGCGTGCAGAGCACCACAACAGTGCTAGAGGTTAGGCTGGCATTTTGCGTGGGGCAGAGCGGCAGCAAATAACGCCAGTGCGTCACCAACCAATCACAGAGAGGATGTGGCCTTGCATTGAACTGCACTAAACAATGTCAGCACCGATAAGCGCCCACTGTGTCAGCCAAACTAGCCCACATTCTCACGACCCCACAATCGGCGACGCGTGGCAAACACGGCGGTGTGCATTTACAGCCAAACAAGCCCACTTTGGATTCCAAGCACCAGAGCGACGCTCGTAACAAGAGAGGCGTAGTTGGGTGTGAGGCAGATGCAGGTTTTGGTTTTTTGTGCAATTTCCTAGCAGTGTCAACGTCTTCAAACGCTCAAAGCTGTGTTGCCGTCAATCACGATATCAAAGACACATCATTATCAACATCATCGCCGCCAAAACTATTAGCTTTGTGGAATAAAATGGGCGCACATTTGTGAAACCAAGAGAGAACATTCACATTGTACGTCAGAATAAGATACCACGTGTTTGGAGACGCGGCACAGGAACATGGATTGCCTCAGCTCAATTAGCAGCTCACAATCGTATAATGTAATAGCAAATGCACCAACATTAGCCATAATTCTTTCCATCATCGAAAATTCGCCTGGCAATGCAACGTTAGCTAAAAATATCGCAGGGCGTCCAGCTCAGCTGTTAACAGGACATCTTGTAGGGCGAGCCAATTTCACAGGCGGCCTCTGTTGACACCTCAGCAAGTCCAGTTAGTAAATGGTTGATCCGCCTGGTTATTACCAGTGACCCTGAACTGATCGCCCGACTCAATTAGCTCCCAACAGCACCAAGAAGGTTGGGAGAACACGAGAAGCCACTACTAGGAACAGTTGGGGAGCCAAAGGGGTGAGTGAGGAGGTGGAGCGGGGAGAGAGTAAGACTCACGGTGAATTCCGTCGCTTGCTTCGCCTCCAACTGGCGCACCTGTTGCTCCACTCGTTCGGCGATTTCCCGATTTCGCCGCTTACTCTCCTTCGCCAGTTCTCGGAAGTCACGCAGCGCCCGCATTCGCGCGACACTAGAACCGACGCAAACGGTGAGACAACAGGCGTACAAACATTAGTCTAGTTTTCGCAATATACCCGCTTATCGGATTACGAACAATGCAGGTACGTGATGGGGGCCACCGAGGCATTGCGTGAGGGATAAGGAGAGATAGGTAGCCAATAGAAACAGATACACACACACACACACACCTAGATCAAGTGATGCACCGTAAACACATCCAAAAAAGGGGTGAAAATCCACAATTGGCACACTGCCAAAGCAGCACCTCTTAGCCAATAGGCTACAGTTTTGTTTGAATGAGCACCAACGGTGCAATGCAGGACCTGGACTAGGGGTTCAAGAGTCAGTCAGGATGGTTGTTTGCTGCAAAGTGTCTTTCACCTGTCAAGCAACAACTCATGACACTTTCATTAATGTGAGCTTCCGCTTGGCAAGCGTAAATTGGTGCAGAGCGCTAGGTGCAAAGCCACTGGAAGGTAATTTGCAAAGCAGCCTTGAAAAGGTCGTCAATTTTCGAACATGCAATGGCTGGAAATTCCTGGGTCTCAAAACAGTGCAAATACGGGCTAGTGTAGATGCTAGGCTAAATCGGCTGAGTGTGTTGATTGGCTAACTCGAGGGTGAGTACCTGTATTCCGCTGGGCGCGCATTTCGATCGGCAAGAACAACTTTCTTCGACGTCGTCGTGTGCTCCTCACCGTCCACCACAAAACGACGCACACGAGTCGACGTCCTGAACTGGGTTGGACATCGTCGGAGCTAAAAAAGTGTAGGAGGAATTTGGAATTAGGCAAACACACACACACGCGCACCGAGAAACACCAAACAAAAGATAACCACTACCAACCAATGTGACAACATTGGGTATAAACAAGACGGGCTATCTGTAAGCCACAATTAAATACGAAACATTTCATGGTAGTAACTACGGCGACCACCTGCTCGTTTATTGCAGTAAAACAAAACAACCACGGGACCAGAGACAACGCAGAACCAAACTTTTATCCGAAACGCAACCATCGTTCTTACAAGCCAGCGTGCGAGTTTCCACACCTCATAAAGAAGCCTGTGTGGAGAAAGCTGGAAAGTTAAGGGATTTCGATGGTCAACAATGTTCAAAGCAATGTACTAAAGGAATTTAACCCTGGTTAAATAACCTTTCTAAATTCCAGTGCCATTGAACAGGTGTTAGCAATTACACACGGTCTTGTCCGATGACTCCCCGGCTAACTAAACATCGATACCGAACCCAAGACGTGAGTGGAGTCCGCGACAAGTCATCTAGTTTCCCGGGACTTAAATCCACGACAAGGAACCTTCAACAAGGTCACAGCGGAAATCGGAAACGCTCCCCGAGTTTCACGTTCGCTAACAGGAAAAGGGTTTAACTGCCACAATAAAGATTCCTTTCTTGCACACGAAAAGCACAAATAGAAGCCACGAGTAGTCGCTTTTGAAATGTTGTGCTGTAGTCAATCACAGAAGGAGAACTCGTGAAGTACTTACAGCAGAAGAAACAGCCGCTGCCGAATTGCCAACAGCCTGCGATGCATCTCCGTCCTGATCGCTACCGGGTGCTTGGAGTTGAGATAGTTGCAGCAGAAACTGAGGCTCATCGTGGTTGGGTGAATGCGGTCGTGGCGGAGACAGTTCCTGTGTTTCGAGCGGCGAAGACGGGACAACCTCCGACGCGAAATCTGGCACGCACGTGGGTGGAGGCGATTCGAAGTTGTCTTTGATTGGAGGGGGTGGTGGTGGAAGACTCGGTCCAAAAGACGTCTGCAGAGGAGCCTCCTGGAAGGCGTCTTCACTCTCCGATTGCTGCAAGAGAAGAGGCACCATTTTGTGGTAGGCAACAGGTGACACGGTGGTCTGAAGCTCACCCACTTTTTTGCCAACTAGTAATTAATTAATGACATTAAATAACCAGGCATACGGGTTCAGCATTGGTCAATCCGGTAGACGTATCAGTGGTTAACGACAAGTGGGTAAATACAATCATTGGTCTGATCATAAAGTCTAGTGCTACATTTAGGCGTGACTGTGCATTCACGCGTTACTCGAATGTGAAGTGGCATGAACACACCACTGAACACTACTGAACGAACTTTGTAACCAAGACATGAGTAAGACATGCATACACGGATTCACGTAGCCAGATTAACCAGTGTAACGAATCAACCAGGAGTGAGAAATAGGGCACACTTAACGGACGCGTATAAACTCTCAAATGCAAGAAGCAAGTGATGGAACTCGTTCGGAAAGAAAACAAGTCGTCGAGACCAACTAATTTATCGAAACCACCACGGTTAAGTCACATAGAGTGACAGAATTTGGGGAAGACGGAGTCGGATCCGACTGTAACCCCACTGGACTCCGACAGAACTTCCTCCTATTTCGCCTTGCGACAACCAAAGGCTGGCGCTCACCTCCTGACTATCCCGAAGGCTTTCGAAGGCCACAAACGCGAGCGAGGTGAAGTCCACGTCGTGCAGCAAAACGTCGTGGATGAGGGCATTGGCGACGTCTCTTATCGCCTTCTCACGGACCGATAGACTCTGAAACACAAGCGACGCGGCGTTGAAATTCATTAAATACCCCTTCACCGGTTGAGACCACCTGTAGTAAACTTGTGTGCTTGCGAAAGGCTAGTATTGCTGAGGGCTTATAGCTCAATGGATCTTAAGACCAGTGTCGATCGATGCTACAGTAAAAGTTGTTCTAACCGAAACCCGGAGTCGCTGGTTGTTTGCGTGATAACGACAAGAAATCGCCAACCACCCCGAAAATTTGAGCATCTACGCAAGCTGATCCATTCAACAAACCCTACAAGTAATATGACAAAGGTATCTGGGACGATCCAGAAGACATTTGCATGCCCCAAAACCATTTTGGGGTGTGAACAAACAGACTCACCTCGTCAATGGGGATAAATGTTGGTGCCTCAGGCTGGCCATAGGCAATGGCGTCGTCGAGGTTGAACTCCACGTCCTCATAGCTCACCGCGTCCAGTGCGACCTCGTCCGCGCTGGAGGAGGACTTATCGTCCACCACGTCTTCCAGGACCTGCAAGGAGTGCGCCATAACTTCTGCCGCGTCCGCTGAAACCATGGCTGGATCAAGGTCGGGCTGCAAAAAGTGGGGATAAATGAGGTTTCAGGGCTGTCCTACGATAACTGGCAGATCGGGGGATCCAGAATTCTCATAGGCTATTCAAGCGGTTCACGGAATCAAAGTAATGCTGTGAAATAGCGCGATATGGCGTAGTTTAAGGTAAAATTTATACTAAAACTCCCAGTACACGAGAGCTATGCTGACAGTCAAAGCGATGCTAAAGACACTGATAAACCTGTTTCTACTTGGTTTGAAATACGTCTACAGGTAAGTTGAAACCTTGTTCGATTCCTCTTATTCAATTAAACAGTTTTCGCCGTATACTACTTTCGTCACAAAGTGGATAAACTTCTAAATGACGCAAATTAACGTCGGCAGGGGGCTGAAACATCGAAATTTGAAAGCCCGAACAGCATCGCATAGCGAACACCAAAGACTACTGAAGGTGTGGGATCGTTTGTCGTCGAAGGACAATCCACGGACCATACGTGTGGATCACTAACTCCCGTTGTAGCCACGCGATTGGCCAAGTTTTGCTTCGAACAGCAACCATCCAACCAGGAAACCGTAATTTGGCCAACCTACGACTCTATGGTATTTATCCCGAAACAGTTAGCTAGGGGTTTCTTCACACGGTTACTGCAAAAGCGCACGCACGCATTCACAAATCCACCAAGATAACTTGTTTTCGGTGTCATCACCATAGCAATAAGAGCGCACACAATAGGCACTGCATTTAAGTCACGCCAAACTGACAGATAGGCACGATCCGAAAAGCCGTTGGAAACAGACAGGGAGGACCTTAAAAAAATTGATTTCAAAGACTGACAAATCCCGGTGGCCCTCGATGGCGACGTTAGTTCGAGGTACATGTTCCACCTTAGGGGGTCTGTTTCTACATACAACGAGAGTGGTTCTCCCAAATTGTTTTTTCACATCCCATGCAAATGACTCGCACCATCAAAACACAACTTCCTCGTCATGATTGCGCACAGAACGTAGGCTTTTTTGGGAAAAAATGTTTTCCCGTGACGAATGCTGCATCAGGGATGCACACACGCGAAGAGCACAAACTCAACTCTACAAGCACTTACCGTTTCCACTGGTTTGTTTGAATCGAACTAAGAGAGAATATGTGGTGCTGATTAAAGTCAGTGACGGCACAAAAAGGAAGTTATTGTGTCCAAGGAAACAAACGGTGTTGACTGAGGTTAATTGCAAAATTTGACGAACACGACGACGACAACTTCACGAATTCAGACACGGTGGTGCTCTAGACCTTTGCCACATACAGATTTCATGGTGATACGCAAACACAGAAAAAGGCACATGTGGTAAGAGTTGAGGAACGGTGGAAAAAGCGTAATGCGTTATTCAAACATTTGACGACGTGGGCGTTTGCTTGAGGCTGAGTCAGACTAGGCTGTAGATTCCCACCGAATTAAATTAAACATGCAAAATCGTATTTAATTGCAAACTAATCTGAGTTGTTTCGATGTGAGTTGACAATCACGAGTGAAACACAGTGAGCAAACATCATGCAAGTGAGCCTCACTTGCGAAAGACCGTTAATCCTGCAACGAGAACGCCTTTTAGGGCTATGTTATCACACAACCTGGGTCCTGTGTGCCGAAAAACCGCCCGATTATGCTGCTTGTTGGAAGGCACGGTTTAGGGTCAGTGAATATGCATAACGCATTTTAAGTGTTGTCACGTTATCACGTTATCAACTCGGCAACAATACAAAAGGTAGAATACTTAACAAAACAGCCACACAGAATCCGCACCTTTGGCGCCACGTTCTAACCTCGTGTTCGACCTAGCAGGCAATTGCGTTATTTCGCCAATTAACGTACACACCGAGCGCCCCGTGAAATGCCACCACGAGGGTAGACTTCGTGAGGAATTAGAAGCCCCGGGACTTGCCCCACTTCAGGATCCCAAAAATGGTGCAGTTTTAGTGATGAGGCACACTCCGGAACGCCACATAGTCAATGGCGGCAAGCCTCACCGGGAACTTGGGTTAGGAGTTTTGCGAAAAATGCTCAGAAAACCGTGGAATGAATTGCAATAACCTCTCCACTACAGACACAGGCACCAAAGAGGAAACGGTAGATGGAAGCGACTTGGTCGGATTGTGTTGGGAAAAGCCACCAAGGCATACGCGCATGAACCCCCTACATGGGGTAGTTGATTGGTTTACTGTTTAAACATGAATGCCATGAGGTTTTTCTACCAGCAAAGAAAGGCATACACACCCTATCGGCTTCTCTGGGCGCTGCATGCACCAAAACCGTAGCGAAAGGTTCATGTTACAACAATCTGATCGTGCGGCTTGCGTCAAAAACATTATCCAGATAAGCTAACCAACCAACTAACCAATCGCATTAGATAGAAATCAGAGGGATTTGTGTGCGTGTGTGTGCGTGTGTGTTTGTGCAAGTGAAATACGAAGGATTAGCCGAAAACCATGCACAAGAGGTAAATGAGGAGTTTCCAAGTAGAAAGTGGCAGAGGGGAAGTAGGAAATCGCGCTTTACTGCAAACGCCGTTTCGATAATTTGCAGGTTAGAGGAGTGCGTGAATGGTGCACAAAGTCAAATCACTGTTGTGGAATTTGTAGAACGGGGTCACCAATTGTTGTGGGCCCCGGCATGTGGTCTTGAACCACGCCGGGGCCACGGAATTAACCCTAGCCCCATTACTGTTCCCTAATACTTGCGGTGAAGAAAAGGACTACAGAGGACGTGGACACAACCGTCTACGTCAGATCTCAACTAAACCTGGCGTCGTTGTGTCGTGTGTGAAGGGGTTTGTGCGTGTGTATTTATACCTCGGATGGGCGAGTCATACATGCGCCAACACCGAGACGTAGGTGTGAGGATACTCCAAGATAAATATTCGTGCGAATGAGGGAGGAGTTGAGGATCCGCGCGGCTGGCGACAAGCTGCGAAAAGGGAAACCCTGTGTCGGAGGATGGAGCAACCGAGTGAAGGGGTTGAATAAACACGATTAACAACATCACTAATGTGCCTTGTTCTCTTCAGAATTCATGTATATGCCAAAAGTAGTGAACGTTTGTCAATTGTTTTCGATCATTTAGCTACTCTTCACACCACTACCGGTTGTCGTTACAATATCAACAGAGGAATCACGTCTACCACAGAGATGATTTCTGACGTTTAGTTGTCTTGTCGAGAATTTTGACCTTGAGAGAAGTGGCAAGTCAGCACTACTGGTGAAACCGAAGCCTATTATTGGCTGTTTTAAAGTGAGGCGCGACAGTTAATTGGTCACAAACAAGCGGCAGTTTTGAGTTGATGGAGATCACGTGCACGACGAAGTTTACACGATCTAAAAGGCAAGGGCGCGGCGACTGTGGCGACAAGTGGCACCAACTTTGACCCCATATAACTCCACCCACTTGTCCATAAACGAGTGACAACGAGTAGATGCTCTGTTTGGAAATGCAATGCATGCTACTGTTAAACCAGCTTCCTCATTAACTCATAATCAAGCCCATTAAGACGGCCGGAAACCAGACAAAAGGAGCCAATATTGGCAGACGAATTCAGTGGTATGATTTAGGGAAAAAATCTAGTCCGGAAAAGGGTCTAACTCGACCAATCTGAAGTATAATTAGCATAAGACGAGGATAACACCAGGAATAAAAAGGCGATGAAGCGAGGTGCTACGGGGAAGTGTGGGTTTTGGCATAATTCGTTGCGATTATTGTTTACTAGTTAGGGGCAGTCTCACAGCTCAGCGACGATCACACGACGTGAAAAGTGTGTTACACGTGACCTTTGAGCTGAAAAACTGCTACGCATGACTGCTTTTCAAACTCGTGATGAAGCAAACTTCGAAGTCAGGCATTTTCCAAAACGTCGAAAAATCGAAAAAAACTTCGACAGGATGCAAACAACTTAGGCGAGTAAAAAAAGCAATTCCTTGTTTGGTGACACCAAGAGTGGAATGTGAATTCTGATGTGAGCGCTAAAACACCGAACATGATGGCACATTGTCACATATTCATTCACAACACTTACTAGGTCCTCGGGCGCGACTTCTTCCACGGTTTCTTCAACATCGGCGTTAACTTCACCGAGTAGTATCTTGATCACGGATCGATCTGCCTCGGTCACATCCGCAACGAATGGGTCCTACAAGGATGCAACACGATAGTACTGATGTTGAAGGATTTGATTACAAGCTAGAGCCATGCGGCATTTCGAGTTGAACCAACAAAAACGCTGCGCCCCAAAGCATAATGATTAATGCGTCTGATTTCTTCGGCTGTGAGCAGGCAGCAACTAAGTCGCACAGAATCATAATACCGAAGAGAAGGGCAGTTTAAGGTATAGCAGCCAGAGCTGACACGAGTCCGACAGCCGCAGAAATAAGACCTGACTGATAGACATCTGACCTATCGGTCGCGCCACGATTAGTGGCTAGGGTGCTTCTAGAGCAAGTTCGGTAATACGCCACGAAAAAAAACATAACTCCAACGCGCAAGAAATAGCAGGCGGTTACAGAAGCTCAATAGACATGACAGTAAGTGCTGCAGAAGAAAAATCTTGACTCAAACTACTGATAAAAACCGTGATCTCTTAGCAATGTTAAGCACAAACTCCATGCAAGGGAGATCGAATGGTGGCAGGACGTACAGACATGAGGTCCGCCATGGTAGGACGCTGTTCGGGCGACTTCTGAAGACACCGACGCACGAGATTGTTTAGAGAAGGCGACCTAAAACCAACAAGGGAGGATGTGCATTGGGAATCGCCATTGGTAAGCCGACTCAAAGTGAATATGTTCATTCACATTGAGTGTGGGGGTGTACAGAACTACGGAACACACTACTAGGTGTTCGAAATCTGTTATACGCAGGAAGAACTTCAGACGACATTCCAGGGTAGTGCCCATTTTAGTGCGCAAAGCAAAAGGTAGTGTAAATTAGACTAGTTTAACAGGAGGACGTTCGACAGGGATCATACCGATATTTGCGAAGTAGGTAAGAGTTTTCAGTGGGTAAAAACGAAAACAAGGCACTACACAAAGCACACGTGGGGACACGAGATGCACACAGATGAGAAAAGAAACATGCCAGATTTCCAGCTGGAAAAGTAAATACACAATGGGATCTTTAGGTGCGTTTTTTCAAGTGCGAGACAACAGTTGATAAAAGCATGCGGAGAACTACCGTTTCTCCTTCACCTTAGAGGAATTCGAAGAGACCGTTATGAAGATGCAAATTAAGTAGGTATTAAAAACGTGTTCTTCGTGGCACTCTCATCCCGTTGGCAATTATAGATACAATTTACAGAAAAATTACAAGTGCTTAAATTAAAATAGGATTGTATACACAGCGTGAGAAAATGTGAATTTGAATGATAAATCCAGCCAATGATGCATGTAGTTAAGACCTCAAATACCTACCATCAAAATTAGTCAGAGCATTATAATTGTGGAATGGAGTGTCATTAAGCTTCTTAGGCGTTTCTGGTTCATAAACTTTTCGATTCGAAGGCAATAAGGCAACCAAGCAGGAAAGAATAGGCAAAGACGATTTTACAGAAAAATATTCGAGAAAATTTAGTGGCTAAAGTAACAGAAGTGCGTACCAATCCTTCGGTCTGGAAAATTTTGGTGGTTCGCTTTTTGTAATTTTCAACAGAACACGTGTTGGGTTGAGATCATTGTATGGAGGAAGCATTTCGCCAAACTCAATTAGTGTGATACCTGGAAGAAATAAATAAACACTTGAGGTAAATCATGAAGTAAAAATTGAAACATAATATTAAACCACTTAGCGAAAATCAGATACATGTAAATGGAAAAAACTGCAATAACGTACCGAAGGACCATACATCAGCGGCCATGTCATAGGGGTTATCTTTAAACGTTTCACAAGCTATAACCTCAGGTGCCATCCAATAAGGAGTGCCAATAAAAGTTGTGCGTTTTTGGCTCTCACTCTCCATTCGAGCGGAGACACCGAAATCGGCTAAAGAAATAAAATAGGTGTTAAAAATGTCGGCAAGCACGCTGTAACAAGGACAGGACGTACCTAATCGAATTTCATTGTTTAATGTGATTAAAATGTTGCCAGCTTTGAGGTCACGATGAATGATTAAGTTTCGGTGAAGGAACTCAAGACCGCAAATAACTTCTCGGGAAATAAATTTAATTTGTGGCTCAGTGAGCGGTTTATCTAAAACCTTCATTATATTGTCGACTGCTCCGCCACCACAGAATTCAAGATACATCTAAAGTAAAATAACAATAAAATGTTTACCCAAAGTTTTTTGTCGAAAATATAGGCCTCCTGTAACTGAAGAATATTTGGGTGTTTGTACTCGCAGAGAATTTCTATCTCAACCATCAAGTCCTCCAACTCCTCCTCGGATGAAAAATCCACACTCTTAAGGGCCGCTAACTGCCCTGTCTCAATATTCGAAGCCTAAGCACTGAATTAATCAATATAAAAAACCACCTTGTAAACTTTTCCAAAAGCACCATCACCTAATTCTGCACAATTCTTCCACTGGCTGGAGGGATCAACACCCCGAACAATGACTGAAGGGAGAGATTTTTGCTTCGGCTTTTCTTCATTTGATCGCAATTTCTTAAGAAGGCTCCCAATAAAAGTCATTGTACCAAGAGCAACAGCAGTCAAATAAATGAGAATTAAGGCGGAAAGTCACAACAGGCTAAAAGTGTAAGCCAATGAGAAGCGTAGAATAAAATTAGATAAAACTACACTAATGAGAGTCCGCCTAAATTATGCCATTATGAAAATGTCGCAAATAAATACAGCTTAGAAATTTAAAATTTTATGGATATTATGACAAAAATGCTATATAGCAACTCTTGGGCGAAGTCCCCAACAAAAAAGTGAAATTGAAATTCCCAGTTGTATATCGATGAGACGAAGTGTTTACATATATTAAAGTTATTAAGGTTACAATTCGGGTAAATTAGTTGTGTGCTTGCTAATCGTCAATATTCTGTTTTAACGACATTACATATCAGAAATTTTTATTATAATGAGCCATAGCTAATTGCAAATTTCTCTGGCGATTTCCTCACCTGAATTAAGCCTCATACGGTTTCTTTTGCAATCTAGATTTCAGAAAGCAATCTCGATGTAAATTTTTGAAAGACAAATAGAAAAATAATTACACCTAACATGCTTTTAAAAAAGGGCAATCAAAAAATTACCAGATTATTTTGAGTTTTGTTGAAGTATTTTACTAGATTCATTATAAAATAGACAAATGAACTTATTGAAACTGTTTTATTAGTGTAAGTACCAATCTCTAAAAGATGAAATATAGTTTATCCGGTGAATCTAATAAAATAAATATGTTTAGATTAGTAATTCAAACCATAAGAGTAACTGACAGTGTAACATTTGGAAACTACTTCATGCAATATGCAAATATTTTCGCTTTTATTAAGGTTTTTGTATAAGCTTGATTTCTGAATTTAATATTGTGAATGGCTATTGTAAAATCTTTGTTTTAAAATTAGGAACTCTGACATGAAACATCATTACCCGTGGGCGACCTGTTAAACTATGATGTCAAGTACGTATAATTCCACTGACCTTTAAAATGGGAGGCAATGTAAGGATGTGTCAGTTGGGCAAATGTATGGCTATAGGTGGATTTGAATTGACATTTAAACAAAGTACGATGCCAACGTTGAAAGATTCAATTAGGATTATTCTGATAAATTTATCCCATATTAAAGTTAATTATTTGTTAATTAAGACATGTTCTATGTGAGGGTCATCTAAATACAACATTTTAAATAATTTTCAAAATCCTTGGTTCGTATTCCGGATTAGCTAGCAGTTATCATCTAGATCTTTCTCACACAGTGACGAACTGTTTACACTCATAATTAATTTTTGGATTACAACACTCGATACGTTTCTGACTTATCATTCATAAGTGCAGTGGTAGTATTGGGGATTAAGAACTCTGGGTTCTTGATTTTCCCCCATCTTTAAAATGGTTATCCATCTTTTTCCACTGTGTTTTTGACACATTTTCGAACACAAGTAAATGGAGGAAACTGGCAAGGTGATTGGCCTATGTGACACTGTCTAGCTTTTTAAACTTCCCTTCCGAATCCGCCTAATTCAATTTGGTTGCTCCGGTGTTGCAGGTTCGAGATTCTGTAACGCACTGATAGTCCCTAATGTTGTTTCGTTTAGGATTCCTGGTTGTGTGGAGTATTGTTTATTTGTAACCAGTTTTGTTGCAAACCTTTATTGGCAAATTCCTGGTTACGTAATCATCCAACACAGTACTCTTAATATCCTGCTAAAAGTCTTAGTAACGTGAAACAAATGGTTGCACATTTACTTAATTTATATAGGAAAAAGGTGAACCTATATTTCTTGTATCGAATGTATATTCTATTGACAAGTGCCTGGTGATTGTTATATGTGGCTATAGGTGGTTGTCTTTTATGTGTTTCATGAACCAATAGCTCAGAAAGATATTGTAGATTTCGTTTTCTTAATTCACAACTCTTAACAGCATCTAGTGCCGATATCTTACTCATATTTGGTTTTTTTTTCAGCTGAGCTCTATGAGTTGCTTGTATCGAATATTTATGTCATATGTGTTAAAAGTCTATTGGAACCCAACTGTTAGGTAACTTGGTGGAATATGAGGACACCTCCTGGTTATATAACTTAGATTTATTACATGTCATTTTGTGAAAATAAATGTTGAATTTTTGGTTGTCGCACATTTTTTTTAAATTTATCTTATATGGTTATATAACTCCCTCGAACCGTGAATTTGCTGACTGAGTGCATATTCCTTTATGTTATAGCCCTTATTATTAAAATGAAGCACCAGTCTGCTGTCCATAAAGTTGAGCATGAGCTAAAGTCCCTTAAACGGCAACAGGAAGATTCGAAACATCACAAAAAAGAAAGCTCTACAAGACATCGTCGACGACACACATCGTCTTCGTCCAGTCGTTCCCGCTCCCCCAGCTCTCGTCGCAAGTCTGAAGAGCTTCGAGCTCTGCGCGATTCTGTCCGTCAGTTAGAAGCGATTGAGCAGCTTCTTAATGAACCTCCACCGCCTTTGACAGACTACATGGCAGATTCCCCACAGCAACTACTCTTAGCAGCTTGGTCGGTCGTTGGACCTGAGGAGATCCTGCGCCTTACTCCACAAAATGTTATTGAAACTTGTCGGAGAGAACGGCGACGCAAAAAGCGGGCTTCCACACCAACGGAAGTTTTCCTCCCACCCGATTGTGTAGAAAATGATGAAGGACGGGCTCTCTGGAAACGATGCTTGGCAGAACTTGAACAAGTACCCCCAGAGGAGATCGGCGCCGTGCTTGAGGGCGAGTTGGATCCTTTTCTGGTGTCGTGGAAACCCACCTGGCCCGAGAAAGTATTTTCAGAGGCAGCGGCTCAAACTGATGGCATAGATGAACAATCGCCTCACCCAAGTACACCAGTGATTGAACATAATACAACTGTAAGCAGTGCTCCTCTCCCACTAGATGTATGTTTACCTACTTCGTACTTGGCTACTTAATGATAACTGCTACGTCCGCTACTAAATAGAAAACGTTAACGTGTGCAACAGTCCTGATGTTACTTATCGGTTGACCTCGCCTAATGACGTGATGGTTTATCACCTGCGACTAGCTGATGACTTATCGCAGTAGTTTGTGCCACTTAATTAAGTGGAGCTTTCCGTAACTTTCGACTTATAAGTCTGACATTTAGTCTCGAAGCCTCATTGGTTGCCTTCGTAGTGGAGGCCCCCACTTATTGATTTGCTAAACGTGTTTGAATGTATTCCTGATTTCGGCGTAATTTCTTTTAAGTCCAAGGTTCAGGATGAAGTCCTTGAGCTGGAAATGCGCGCCAGGGCAATTCGTGCACTTCTCTCCAAGCGATCTATTAAGTGAACCTTTTTGGTAATTATGCACATATACTGTACAATAAAAAAAATGCTTCTCAACTTTCTACTCTGTTTCATTTACGGTTCCTCGACTATGTGGCTCTCGAATGTGTAATCAGCTAAGAGTGTTGTGCTCCTGAGAGGTAAAAAAAATGATGCATGCTATACTAGTAGCGCCTTTATTGGGCCTGCGTTTTCACTATACAGTATGCAGTAACGGTCACTTTCCTGACACCCATCTCTAGTAGCCGAAAACACTTCATAAGGTAAAAGTTACATTGACTGAAATAGTCAAAAGTTGTTTTGCGCGTGTAGGCCTCACAGGAATCTCCGATTCTTCAGGATCGCTAAACCTTTCTAGGAAGAGACCAATTAGCAAGCGAGCTGTACCTCATACAGAAATTGAGCGCGGGATTCATCACCTTTGCTTGCATTCCGGAACTCGCATTTCACACGATTTATTAGGTACTCCTGGTCAGTGTGCTCAAGCGAACGAATATATTTTACAAGGGAGCGGAATAGTTGTAGTGATTGCGTCCGGGTCGGCATGCCTACACCAGAAACACAGCATAATTGAGCCCATGATAGGCACCAAACGAAATTGAAAAGCCTGATACATTAAAGAGTTTTTAATCCTTGTCATAGTGGGGATAGAAAGAAGGATCGAAAAAGCGATAAACATAGAGGTGCTCATTTCGACATCGGCGCTGAAGAACACAGATCGCCTTTGAAAACCGTCCATTCGATGAGTCGCTAATAAGCTTAATCACCTCGTCAGGTTTGTTTTCACGAACGAGGAGGAGGTAAAGTACGCCAGATTTGGCGATAATTGGGGCAAATTGTCGAATGAACCTATCGATTACCTACGAATCGAAAAAAAAACAAAATGACAGTATAGTGATTAGAATTTCTGATACACGAAGTATTTCTTGTCATGAATGTTGGTTGTAGGTTCTGATAGCTCACGAGCAAATTGTGAATCATTGTCGAAATCGTACCTCTCGACCATGGTTGCCACCTGCCCACGCGGCTGTAAGAGAGGATTTGGCTGAAGCCAGTTCACTACTATCCGTCGGCACATATGGCGGGTTAAAAAGTAAAATGTCAGCAAGTCCGCCCGGGGTTTGCCTCACTGTGGAAAGTAAATCAGCACAAACAGAGTCAAGAGGATAACGTGAAGAATTTTCTGAGAACACGGACTTTGATGCCATGCATGCCTAAGAAGTAAGAAAGCAAACGGTAAACCTGCGGGGAGATGTCAATACAGATAAAAGAGCACATTTGGTTAATGATCTTTGACAGAAATGTAGAAATAATACCAGACCCAGAACCGACTTCTATCGATAGGGCTGGATTAACGAAGGTTCTGATAAAATGAATATCCTTTTCCAAAGCATCCAGAAAAAGAAATGAATCTTCTGCCGGTGAGTAAACATCCACAAACTCGGGAAACTTGAGTGAATCCGTCACTGGAGTCGGCAACATAAAACCGTAGCAAGACACCACAAATGACCTTTAATCGAAGGTCGATTTGAGGCTGACTATTGGCAGTAGGCCTTATTTTTCTTTGAATAAATTTATTCTTAATTTTAAATCAGACAGAACAGAAAGATTTTACTGAGAATGTATGTAAAATTGTTTAGCAAATCAGAGAACATAATCTAAGTGCAGGATTAAAATGCTATAAAAAAGATTTAAAAAACGAATCAGGTTGAAAATTTTGAATTTAATAAATTTCAGGTATTAGTATTGCCAGTCAGGCAGCACGAACATCGCTGATATCATAGTGAGTCGGTCAGCATTATTTGGAGGTTATTTCTAAAGCTCCATGCAGCAGTCCTTAAATGAGGGGTCCCCAAAAATGCTAATGGCCCCTTAAATTAACTTGAGTTTATTTAACCAAATTTCAAGATTTCTCCGTTATAACTCCTAGGCGCATATTTAAGTACTCTGACGGTTATATAATAATACATTTTTTCACGCGGTAGAAAGCAAGCGATTTATGCAACAAATGCGGTCTTTGTCCGCTCTCTTGATTTGTAAATATTCTATTTGATTTCTAAAATTAATTTAAGCAAATGATGAAGTGGTTTTATTGGCTATCCATCTTCCTCGATGGATAGGATATCATATTAACCAATGGTTTTTTTCAAGGGGTCTATCTTATTAATCCTATCCTTGTTCCAGGCACTTAAGGTGATCAATGTAATTTAGTCCATAAGAAATTGTTGATTTTAATTTTCTCTGTTGGCAAAATAGACAATTTAAAATGCTAAATACCATTTATTTCCTAAAAAAGAATTATTCATGCTGTTTGGATGACTGATTACCGTTAATATTAGCATGTATGGCTAGAAGAAAAATAATCAATAATATTTATTTTGGAGTCAGATATTAGGCGCTTCAGCAGCCTTGATTAATGCTTTTTCTCCGAATTTGTCAAGTCATTGGGTTAGCTCATCCCACTCCACTTGACAAACTTCAAAATTAAATCTTTATTACTGTTAGTCAAAGGAAATGACTACTTACTGTATCGTTTTTTTGAAAATGTGTGAGTTGCTTTCAATTGACTCACTCATCGTCGCAATAAAGCCATTCAGGTTGATACTGTCAATGTAATTCGACCACTTTTTGAATGGGTGTGTTATCTGGACCCATCAGGCGGGTGGCCTGTGCCGTTTCTGGTGGGGTTGACAGCGCCGTATCAGCATACTTTTTAAAGCGAAGAGGTACGTAATAATGCTTATTTATTTTCCTGAAATTACTTAGGGTTTGATGTGGTGGGTGTTTTTATGACAAACTGGGATCAACAGGATGAGTCAATCAATTGTTCCACAGATGTTGATCGGGAAGATGCCAGGTTTATATGCCGAACGCTTGGCATCAAATTTGCTGAAGTAAACTTTGTTAAAGACTATTGGAACGATGTATTTGTGTAAGGTCCGGAGCTCATTTACTTACTATCCAGGCCCACTGTAGAGTCATACTCCAAAGGAAAGACCCCAAACCCTGATATATTGTGTAATCGATATGTGAAGTTTCCGAAGCTAGCTGAAATTACGCTAAAATCTTCAAAACTGTGTCACCCTTCTATATGTGCGGATGCTTTCGCAACTGGACATTATGCTCGGAATTCATACGGTAATTTCCTTGAAAAACGCAGCACAGCTATCTCACCTCCACAACTTTTGCGGTCGGCAGATCCTGTGAAGGATCAAACATTTTGGCTATGTAACGTAAGGATTCTTCTGTTTTAATTTGTATTACATTTAACACTTGTTATTCGTGTGTTTTCTGGAAATCATTAAAATGTATCACTGTCCTGACCTCCGCTTTTGGTTAACATTTAACCGCAAATAACTGGTTTTCAAATTTCTTACCTCAATCTGGCTTAGTGTGTTCTGCAAAGTGTTCGTTTTTAGCCTAAGTTCAACCCAACTAGCTTCAAAAAGCCGCTATAATAGAACCCGCCCTTGGGTCAGCGTAGCCTTTTATTTAATTATTCTATTTTCTGTTAATAAGATATCGTGGAAGCACTTGCAGCACTGCATGTTTCCTATAGGCGATTTGACGAAGCCAGAAGTTAAGAAGATTGCCACCTCAATCGGTCTAGAACGGATCGCCAAAAGAAGAGAGGTAGTTAGTAGTTATTTTCAACTTGCTTCGAAACATTGCTTAAACTTTTGGAAGATTGACTTGTCACTGTGGATCTGCCTGTATACTAATATTAATACAGTAGTAATTATGCACTGTTTTTAATTGATCACCGGTGTTGACGGACACCCAACCAATGTCATTTTGATTTATTCAAAAACTAGAAGAAAAGCCCACTTTCCACACAGCCAAAACAGTGGCACCTACTCTTTGCTTCGATTACAACACAACAGTGGTGGTGTAGGTGTCTGCCCAGCCTTGGCTCTAGCATATATTATCGATTACTTTTGAGTTGAGTGGGATATGGAGCCATTAATCTGTCTCTGTGTTTTTACGTCAATACCCGCTGCACATGCAGGCACAGTGATTCTTGAGAGTCTCTGGTTTTGGTCTAAGCTGCAGATGATTTCGCTTCCAGGTTTGATGTTTGAATCAAATAATGTTAAGATTACCAATACGGCCAACACTGCATAATTCATCGCCAAATTCCCAGTTGTACTTTTTTTTATTTTTGTGGACACCCCACAACAGTTTACAAGCATTTGAACTGCTGTTTTTTTCAAATTCAAAATAATGCACTGTATTGATAAATTTATGATGGGAGTGCGTGTCGAATGTTTTCGCTGTCCTACGGCAATACTAGGTACAACGGTTTTGCTTCGAGGCCAGATAAATTTATTTATTTTTAATCTGTAGGTTCGCATTTTCGAAATATAACTGAAACCACTTACATGCTCCTTTGTAATTGCCGTACCAAAGCTTGCACGATACGAAAATTCGAGAGAAAAAATAAATTAGAGAAACGAAGAGGACTCCATTTGGATTCTTCGTAAAACTTGGCAAATGGAAGCTTTCAAAGTAACTTCTCTTAATGAGGGGTATTTGTCTCCCCTTACTTGGGGGATCGATTTCGTGACTGTTTTTCACGCAAAGCTTGTTTTGGCTCACTCAGTTGACCAATTTAAGCTAAGCCAAGTGGGCACCTGTTCTCGATCACTCAAACTGCCCAACGGGCAGAGTTGCTACGCGTTTGTTCGTTTTTCAATTTCTGCCTAGTTCGTTTTGTCGCTAAATTTCTGATAAACTTCTAAATTTTTCATAACTGCCTCGACATGTGGGTGACTCAGTTAAAGTAGGTCTGCCTTAATTTTCCCGTTACAAGATTCGAACAACCGCTGGGCTCCTTGGTACTTATTGAATGGCTTTTTAATTCTAGCGTTTGATCTAGCTGCACTAAAACATTGTCTGTTGACGATTTTTTGTAGAGTATGGGTATATGCTTCATTGGAAAACGGAACTTTGGTGATTTCATCGACAAGGTATGCAAGATTCTCTTGAACACAATTGCTGCAGTATGTAGAGCCCAAAAAAGGTCAGCTCGTGGAGCTTGGGACTGGGAAAATTCTTGGTGAACATGCAGGTAAGCCCAGCGTAACCCTTTTTAAAATATCTGCCATCTCTAGGTGTGCATCATTTTACACTGGGTCAGAGGGTACCCGGTGTGACCTGCGGACAGGAACCCTTCTACGTTGCTAAACTTGTCCCAGAAACCCAAAATGTGTTTATAGTAAGTTTTGTGGTCTAAAAACTGCCAATCCGTCTTCTTTTTTCATGCGTTTTAACCTGGAGAGTTGTAGAAGAAAAGAAACTTTTTAAAGAATTACTTTTCATTTTAGGTCCAAGGAGCACATCATCCTTCACTCTTTACGCGCAAATGCTGGACTGATCCTGCCTTTTGGATAGCGGGAGTGGATCCGCCTCTGCCCTCCGACGAATATGAATTTCAATGGCAAAATAAATGGCGACCAGTAGCTTGTAAGATACGAAAACCTGAGACTCCGCTGTCAACTCCGCAAACAGGATTGTCAATCCAATTTCATAAACCCTTGCGCTGTATTGCCCCTGGCCAATACGCAGCACTTTATAAGAAAGACGTGTGTCTGGGTGGAGCCATGATAAGGGCATCTCAAAGTCTATTTGAGGAAGGTCAAACCGAGCCTTACGTTAATTGGCGTCTATCGGATTTTGAGCTTCATTACTCGTCTGTATAGTTGCTTTCTGCCAAATATAAAGTGTACATTAGCTCTCATTGCTTTCCATTTTTATTTAATACATTGACTTGGGGAACAGACTGCTTCGTTTTACAAACAGTCCCGCAAAAGCAAAGGCTATATCTGGCTTGAAATACGGTAATAAGATTGTTCCAGGGGTCTCCCGGCAGAAGTTGTCGATTGTGGTTGCCGAGACACCCGACTCATGTAGTCGTAACCAGCCCCTTTAATTGGGTAGAAAAATCTGCTTCCGTAGTGAACATTTGCAATCGTAGGCATTGACAATTTGCTAACAGAAAAGTCCTGCTCGCATCCAGGGATCCGTCCGGGACGGTTTAGGGTACAGAAAATAAATAAACCAAATATGAATATTGGCACACCGACGATTGCTACGAGAATACCAGCTACCCAGACATCCTCACGGCAGCGGGCTATGCCTAGCGTAATCATAAAAATGCTTAAAAGGGTAAGTAAAGCACCCAAAATGGTCATGTGAATGTGGATATTTGTTTTTTCGTAGAAGTCAATGTAACACATCCTTTGGTTCAAATGTTGGTTTATTTACTCTGTCGATTTAAACAACACAAATAAAATCAGAACTTTACAATTACACAACTTCATATTATACTAATAAATTAAACTTAAGTAATAATATGACCTTTTCTTAAAAGTTGGCGGGTAGAATTAATGAAGTATGGCAATTTGCTGCACGTTTACTGGCCGGATATAATATCATCCCAGCAGAAGGCTAGAAAAAACATTATGGTGTATTCTAAACTGCCATTTACACTGGCAGAGGTCTTAATCTTTTGGAGTGTGTCAGAACGAGAATGCTCTGAGAATTTCCGAATAGTGCCCTGTGTTGACACGAGAGCCCATTTGGGTGTCTTCAGAGTAGAATGAATGATTAGCAAATATGACAGAATAGAAGACAGGCTATACTAGTCAGCACTAAGTAAATAAAGAGCATTGTAGAAATTGGAGTTGTGTGTAGTTTTATTTATTTCACCGAATTTATCGTGAAAACTAAATAATACTCTTTAAGACCATTCGATGGAACGTCTTTCTTTAACTATTTTACAGATGTGTGTTGTCAGTGTGCTTTAACATCTTATCAATTGTCTAACATTATGCTGAATATATCTTAAACACGGATGGTAAAAATTTGTCCAAAGGCTTTGCGTGTGTCGCCTGATAAACCAGAGTTAATATCGGAATTCAAGCACATCTCTTAATAAATTCGATTGCAGGTGAGCAGGTTGTGTTACAGCAACCTCTCTTATTTTTATTCCTTTTTCAGATATTCTTGGAAATATAAACAAATAATGGAATGCTGCTCACTAAAATAATGCAAACATATCATCTTTTTTGAACTTTTTTTAAGGAATAGTAATCTTGAATCGCATTACTGCAAGAATAGCGTCGTTATATTATAATGTAGAATACATTAAAAATGAATCGATTCGCTAAATTCTGTGGTTTTTTTGAAGATTATATTTATTATCACATGGGAATTAGGAAACGTCTACATGAGGTGAGTGTGTTGCCTTGCCCAATTTGATAGTGCCTGATAATTCTTGTTTGTAAATATTTTGTTAATAATAAGTTTTTTTGGTATCTTTATTTTCTGAAATGTCTTTAGGAAGAACTTGCTTAGTCGACTAAATGCAGACGGCATCCAGATTTTAACGTCCAACATTGACACTAAAATCCCCTCTAAGATAACAATGTTTACGTGCCTTTAATGGGTTTTGTTTTATATTAAGTAAAAAATAATGACTGATAAACGAGTTTGCATTGTTGATCTTATTGGAACTGTTATAAGTTTGTTCGCTTTCAGCGGAACATTTGGATAAATTGGGTGTTGATCACGCCATATCTGCAGTGTTCGATTTTCAGTAATTGGTCTTTTGTTCCTTTCTCCTATCACTGATTAAATGCTGCTATAACGTAAAATCTGTATACTCGTTTTAAGAGTCTGTCCACCATATGTGTGTGATGTGCAATTCAATTAGTTGAACGTTTTGTTCTCTTCCTCCAATTTTTCTTCGATCCTGTTAAAATATTTATTTTTGATGTATGCAAGCCTTACTTATTATTTTTTCTCTATCTTTAGAATTTCACCTATTTCCCGTGTCGAGCATCTCCGGTAATCAATGTCTCTTTTCGTAGCAAGATGTTTCCGTCAGACTTTCAGATACCACCTTGTATTTCTCGTTATTGAGTTACACTTATCTTTAAGGGTTATGCTCGATATTCGACCGGTGGCGGTTTTGTTCAAAACCTTATCAGAAAAATTAAGGAGGAATCGGCTAAAGACAAGCAAATGAAGGTTAGAATCGGAGTTCGTTAGCAGTTTTGTAGGAAAGTGTCCGCAAGTTCCGTGAAGAAACTGAAAAGCTTGAAAAGTCAAAAGAAATTCAGTCAATGCGGGAATTTTATGTACGTTTACATGCCCATTAATTCTTCTTTTTTGCAAATTAGAAAAAAATCGAAAGCGAAATTCCCACTGATACTGTGGACAAGGTGAAAGGACAAATCGAAAGTGCTGCAAAAAAACTGATGGCAGAAGGGGAAAATTTAAAGAAACAAGAATATGTACGTAAAAGTCTCGAAGGGATTTCCAGAGCAGGCGAACAACTCGCAGGTGTCTCGCGATCTCTAGGACAAACTGAGTTTGTAAAGTCGGCTCGAGAGGTAATGAAACAATCCTTATGATTCTTTGCTAGAGCCTTGAAGCACTAGAAAAGGAGTTGCAGTCCGATCGTGCACTTGTATATCGGGCTCCAGTTAAGCCTAGGACCAGGGCGGAGATAGCAGGTAGTTCGACTGAGCGGACTATTGACGCTGATACGTGAGTGTTTGTCTCGTTGTTAGATGTCTCCCGTACCGTGAATTTATGCACTGAAATGATGTTATTGGCTAGGTGCGGTGTTTTGTGGAACCGTTTCACACAAACCCTGTATTTATTGTCATGTACATTTCACCAGTTTGAAACTCAGTATTAACTTGATAAAGGAGTGTCTAATTTAGGTAAAATCACTACGATTCACCGCATAATCGCCTTTAAGAACATGTTGATCAACTATGCATATGTTCACGGGTCCTGAAGTTCTGCATTTAAATCTTTCTCGTATGTTCTTTTTTTAAGCTTTGCCTGTTCTATCTCTAGTGAATCTTCCGGTGTAGTTTTACACAAGGATTCAAAGTGGATAGCGGCTTGGGAGAATTTCAAGGACAACAACCAGTACGTTCAAAGTGAGTCCGCTCATTGCCTGTTTTCGTGGGGTTTATTTTGTATTTTGGGTTTTACGTACTTACTACTCATTTCGAATACGTATTATGAACTTAGATTCAATGCATTTGGCGAAGAAGCTCAAGCACTTACTGCAAAATTATTCTTGATGTTTTAGAATTCTTCGACTTGAAAACACGGTACGAGGAAAGCGATCACCTGCTGGTTCGGTCTTTGCGATTTGTCACAGACAAAATCAGTGACTTGATTGGTAAGCCAGCCCCAATAAGAAGCAGTTTGCCCACACGCTTAACTTATATATTTTACGCTGTTGATTATTGTCTCATGCATTGTGTGAACCGATTTCATTTGGCCAGCACGGTTTATTGATCGTTTCCAAGCAGATTTGTTTTGCTAACTTCGAAGACACAACCTGTAAATTTGTCCATTTTTTTCGTAGCTGTACAATGTCCAAACCCTGGCCAATGCCAGATAAGCTCCTTCAAGAAAACTTTGTCTGGAACTTATGCTGCCGCATTGGTTGTGCATTCTGGGTCACTGTTTTTGAGGTGGTAACTGCTGTAGTCCTGAATGTACCGTTCCGACCAGTTAAATTTTCCGCCCTGCCGTAAACCTGCTGAACCGGCATTAGCGTTGGCATTCACCAAAAATTCACTACTATAGCGGTGTTCCCTCGACGGCCACTTTGTCGAAGTGCTCAACTCCGAAATACAAGTGGGCTATATTTACCAGTGGACAAATTCACACATCGAGGGTTACAACGGTGTTAGTCAACAAAGTAAGGGCAGTTGTGCCAAATAGTGATTGCACATATTTAAGGCTGAAAAACGTCGAGAAAGTCGTCCCAACGAAACACGATGGCGCTACCGTTTTCTTCCAGTCCTTCTCTAACCGTTACCTCAAATTGGGCTCCTAACTAATTTATTGGCTCTCAAACGCATCCAGCGGCCAAACTGAGACACATTTGGGTGAATAGTTCTTTGCTCTCCTGTGGCCGATTCCGAAGAAATTGATGTAACAGGTTGACTAGAATGTGTCATTGTTGGGAAGTTGGTGTACCCTTAACTTGACAGCACAATTCTTCGTACCTAACTGGAATTAATGCACCTTGAATGCGGCACAGAACTACTCCTAATTGCTTGTGACGGGCAACTTCGTAAATCGTACAGATCACGATTCACGACGCACCTCACATTATCCAGCATTGAAGATTAAAACGCTGTGGTCACAGCCAATCACGACGCGGTCGATGATAGACTGGATTAAGTGCTCAATCGTGCACGCAATCAATAAGTCTTCGATTTCATGTGATCGGAAGTGATAAGGCGACTAACTATTTTCCCCCACATCATCTTTCAATCTTCGTGAATAGTATTAATCGACTTGGAGCAAGTTACACATTCCAAAATTATCCATCGATTATCGTTAACAAATCTATATCGCAAAGGATTCGCAGTGCCCTTAATTGAGACCTAATTTCCCCCTAATTCACTAATAGGTCTTTTCGACAGCCTTCCAGATGAACGTTTTTCTTCTCATCTACAGGCAGCAAGGGTTCAGAGAACGAACTCCAGACTGTATTGGAGGAGATCACCAAAATCGACCCTTCCTTCACAATTGAAAACTTCATCCGCTACTGCCGCCTAGAAGTAATCCCAAATGTCCTGGAGGCAGGTCCACTTGCGTGTGATATTGTTATACACTTGCGCACACCTCGAATACGCATCATGCCTCATTTTATCCAGTTTGGAGGTATATAATTAGAAGTCCTTTCCCGTCTACAACTTGTGCGGAGGGCTCTAATGTCTGAACCCAAGGTTAGAACACCAAGTAGATCCATAACGGAAGGCGAGTGGATGCTCAGGTGTGCCTGAGTAATCAACGTCGAGTGATGAGTTGTTGATGTGAGCAGAGCTGAGTGAATGGACGTCACAAATCACAGTGTTAATTTCCGTCTTGGGGACCGGCCAATCAGCCCAGTGTACGTCGTTATACTGGTTAATTGAGTTCTCAGTTCGGTAATTAAGTGGTCACCCATTTCAGGTTAGCAACCCCTCCTGGTTCTAGTGAGCTCTTACAGGCTACAAATGCGACGCCTTAGTTGTTTGTTATCTGATTTCCTAAATTGCCTTTTTAGTCCATCGTTCATGGTCATTTGGATGTTCTCAAGGATTGGTGTTATGAAGCTGTAAGTTCTACTGTTGGCAGAAATAGTTTTTGCGGATATAAGTTGGTTTTGAGTGCAATAAATAAACACTTGGTACTAACCCTCTACTGGCTGCTTACCTAGGAGGTGAAGGAGTCCATTTACTGGTCATTGCATTTTACCCACCAATGTGTTACACTGCGTCTCTTCCTGCGAACACGCACTGTTTACCAATCTCCTTTACCTTACTCCAGCCTGGTTTACGAATTGTGTGATGGTGTAACTTGAGTTTAGAGTTTCTGAATTGCAAACGAGCTGTCTTCTTTTGCCTCCAGCCTTTCAACGTCCTCTCCGCGCCGATTAAACAGACGCAGGAACTCGGCTTTCACATGGATTCGCGAATTCTCGATGTCCACAACATTGATGTGAGTGACGGCGCCCTCGTTTGAGGTCCTTGTGGGTTTAGATCTCGTCGTAAATTGCCACAAATTTTAAACCACTACGATGAAAATTTGAGTTCAGTTAAATCTGACCAGGCGCTCCGTTCGAATTGGACGGTGCATTTGTGAAGTCGCTTGCCACCGCCGCACGCTAAAACACAGCTTGCATCTGTCTATTTAGGTTCACATGGGCAAAATGATGGAACAGGGTCCTGTGCTGATCATCACCTTCCAAGCACAACAGATCCAGTGTGTCCGTGACAGCAGTGGCGCAGTCAAGGAGGGCGACCCAGAGAAAGTGCTGCGGGTGACTCACGTGTGGGCGCTGTGTCGAGACCAGTCCGAGTTGAACCCCTGGACTGCCTGGCGCATCCTAGACGTCGCCATGATGCCCGCCGAACAATGGGTCTAGATCTTGCGTTGACTTCTACACTCGCCACCACCAACTTCTTGGTATACTTTGTACAGCCTCCCTCCCTCTCTCTCTCCTAGAAATATAACCGCAGCAGGTTTCCACCCTTTATGTGCTTTTAAATCTTGTACTACAGCCTTGCTGCGGGCTACTTTTCCTCACTACATCCATCATGAGGGTCATGTGTCCGCGCGTCCATCAAGGATTGGACGGGAAATGCCTTGTTGGGCATAAAGCCGAAGCTCTCCCCAGCCACGTGACCATGGGGCTCATTGCCCTCTTTCCAAACCCAGACTTCCACTGCAACGGAAGCAGTCACTACCAGCAGAGAGGCTCTACTTGTAAAAGAAATATGCATTTTTTTCAGTGCACTGTACTTCTCAACCGCAACTATACTAGTACCAAAGAAAATCATGATTGTGAAACAGAGCGCCACTTAGCATGAATGTCCTTTAGACGCTTGAAAGTGGACAGGGGGAGATTGAGTTCAGGAACCAGCGGTTCGAGGCCGGTTCCGCCGTCGTCGTGGACGATTTGACATAAGTGTCTAAAGACGGCAAGGCTAGGCGGATCGGTCAGTTGGAGATCGTTGAGGGACTCGCTAAGGCTAGGGGAAGGCATGCCGGCGATTTCGGGAGAGAGGGGGTCGATTAGGAGGCAGGAAAGACCAGCCAGAGTCATGTACGAATGCAGAAGGTCTAAAACGACAAGATGAACTCGTTCAGGCAGTCGGGCATGCCAGTGGGTCACGCTGTTGCACGGCAATCGCATTTTGACCGGTGAGGTTGCATGGGAAATGTCCTCACTTTTGATGGTGTGATGTCTCCTAATGGAGATTTCTCAAAGTATGAATTTGACAAAAGCTTTGCCTTGAGACCACAAGCAGTGTGGGCGAAAATAAGGACAGCTAACAGACGTGAGAGTCTTACCAACACTGGCATCGGGCGACCTCATGAAACCACCAACAATCGGGTCGTAAGAGGAGCAGACGAATTCCAGCAGGGACTTCTTCTCCACGTATTTGTGGGCGTCAAGCATCTGAAAGACGAACAGGCAGGTTGCTAGGAGGAAGTGGGCTACAGTTCGCGACAAAACATGTGAAATTCAACTGGCTTTTTGGGTACCCTGATTGTGATATCATAATCTGAAGTTGCTGTGAAAATTGGACAACTTAGGTCGCAGATTCCTACTGAGTTACTCGTTCACTTGGTAGAAACCGTTGGAAGAAACTTTTTAACACAAATTCTCCGTCAAAGTATCCTAAATAAGGTTCCTACCGCAAATCAAACAAGAAAATAAATGCTACATGATGCTTCAACAACCAAGATATCCATAAGTTGTCGAGAACAGTTAGGAAATCTCTTTCTGTTTACGGTGATATTTTTAAGACGGGATTTACACCAAGCAACAAAATTTAGCGGAGTGACGTGCGCGAAAAAAGGCGTTCGACCTAATACGACCATTCCCTTCCGTAGAGACTACATTTCCGAAGGAATCCTTGGCATTTCACCGACAGCCTTAACAGATGGAACTGAAGTACCCTGCTGTGATTCAAAGAACGCGTCTTCGAAAGTGGAAATGTGGTACCAATAACACAGTACTTCAGTCTAATGGTTGACGAAGTAATTAATCAATAGAATGCGGACTGACAAGGCTTTTTAGATGCATTTCAACTCACTTTAAGTGAAGCACCAACCCAAAAGGTATAGCATGTGTCGGGCTCCTTTTGGGACCTTCCATTGAAGCCACCTCGTTGTCTACTCAGAAGCCAGTTTATGAGTTTCTGACGCTGGAAAGATCCCGCTGGAAACACTTTGTCCAAACGATTCATTAGCTTTAAGCTGGCTAACGCGCAGTAGGTAATCCCAGCATGAGACTCCAGCTTCGGTAATTTGCCGAAAGCTCCTTCGTAGGTCTGTTTAGGAAACAACAGATTTCAGCTATGTTTCGGAAATATAGAAACTCACGAAGCAACTCCAACGACGATAACTTACAATTGAGCCAACGAAGAACTTTTCAAAGGCGTCCAAATTAAGTTGGTCCAGCTTATCTAGAATGTACGCGGAAGCGACCGCGCTAAAGATGAAGCGAGCATCGAATTCCGGGCAAAAGAGACTCCCATTCATCAAATTCCCGTTGCAGGTCTGGAGGGCTAGGATCCCGTCGACAACTGCCTGTCTGTTCACGCGCCCAAGATCATCGCCGAGAATTAGCAAGGCCACTAGCGCGGAGTAGTCCGTGGTAACATGACATGAATCATAAGGCAAAGACGGATAGGAATCGTGCTTGTCGCCTAGTTCTAAAGGGGATCCAATAAAAGTCGATCCCCTAAACCCACACCTTGAAGTACCGTACTCTAAAACCGAACAAACGTATGCGTTCTGAGTTGTTAAAGACTATGTGTGAGTAAGAAAAAGAAGCCTAACCTTTGGATGGATGAATCTGGTGACCATAAATAAAATCAATAAAGTGTTCACTGTCAATCACAGAGAGCTCATTAAGAAGGGCCAAACCACTGATGCTAAAGTGCAGGAGGGTCAATCTGACAGTAGAAAATATTCATTCTCAAATAATGAGAACCTGTGAGCATCCATAGACTCAACATGTGAAGGTAAAATGCCAGTGGTTGCCTTGAAATACTTCACTAGGCGGACTTTTAGCTGGTTCGCTTGTTTGGATATCTAAATAAGAAATCAGAAAAAGTGCATTTATATGTTTCTATGGTCCAAAAAATATAGCTCTAAACAAACTCTATATGGCATACTAGGTGATAACTCCACACGCTTCAACAATAATGTCATGTAATGGGACTAACAGCAAAGTATAACATCCACCATAATCTCGGTTCTAAAAACTAGGCAAATTCCTAAAGAGTTGCCGGACTTTGGTGGTTAAAACTGTTTTAAGAACCTAATTTCGTTCAAGAGGATATTTCGTAGAGTTAGCAAAATCCTTTCGATTAGACCGGACAGACATACATCTCCAAACTGACGCTCTATATTGGATTGGAATTAAATGAAACAAAAAGTACGCACTCGTAAAGCAAGTAAACTTATTTTGAGAACACATCTGTAACAAGAATTTCTTAAAACAAAGTACTTCAATCACAACTTTACCCACAAAATGTCTCCTATTTTCTAATATAAATTAAACAACTCATTTTTTTCCCAATGGCTAGAGCCAATTACTTTTTAGTGCAGGCTGTATAACGTGGTGTAGTACAGTCAGTCGATATCTCAGTTAAATTACCAAAAAGCCCTCACCGAAAACATCTGTCCGATTGCTCACACTTTTTTAAATTCACGGTCATTCAACCGTTTGCTAAAACAATCTATTAAGGTTGTGGTAATGTTTTCCGTATTATTATAAATCTTGAAATCATTAAAGCCAAAAGGCATCGAATTACCTAAATATATTATAATGTCTTGTTTAATGCTGTTTATTGACTATAATCATATGCTTTTTTTTAAATTTCATGTAGTTAAATATTAAGTCCTTTTTTCTTCTATCCACTTCTGAAAATTTTAATTATAAAAACACTTTTACAACAATAAAATCCGTTGGTAGTTAAAAGGCTCATTAGAAGTAGGTAACTGTATATACGGTCACAATGAAGAAACCTAGATTTGAATCGAGTGTTGTGAGGTTTGCCTCGAATTTTCTCCTTAGAATTTTCGCCTGTCACTTGAAACCAGCTAACACCAGTTACCACTAGCAAAAACTGATAAGATTACAACATAATAGAACGTAAATACTGCTTTTAGTTATCAAGGCTATATGTTTTTTCTTGCACTTAATTTTGGTTAAAATGCTTTGGTGTATCTAGGCAGCAAGATTCACTTTTAAGCTAGAACGAGTTTTTTTGAAAATTAGATGGAGATGCGAACGTAATCAGTGGAGACTGTAGAGTAGAAGCGCAGTGGATCGCCGGCGGACTCATGTGAATAAAGCTCATCCACAGGTTGTCAATGTCTTTCAATGGCTGATTTCCACAATCACTCGATGGTGACTCGTAAATAAATATACACTTGCCTAATCTTACGCGAAGAACTAGTCATGTCCACTGTTGAACTATTTTTTCTGTTCTTGGGTTGTTACTTGTTACCAACCAGAAGGGTCTTTTGGAAGATCATGAAACACGAAAAACTGAAAAATTATCATGAAACTTGTTGTTCTTGTTGACGCTAAAAGTATTACCTCAACCCCTTGCACAATTGAAATCGAACACAGTTGCGTAAACAATGGTGGTATCAACCGTTATAATTGCCGTTAATCGTGTTTATTCAACCCCTTCATTCGGTTGCTCTACCTCCTACACAGGGTTCCCCTTGTCGCAGCATGTCGCTAGCCACGCAAATCCTTAACTGCCCTTCATTAGCACGAATATTTATCTTTGAGTATCCCCACACATAGGTCTCGATGTTAGCGCATGTATGACTCACACATCCGAACTATAAATGCACACGCGCAAACCCCACACACGACACATCGACACCAACGTGGTTGAGCTCTGAAGTAAACAGTTGTGTCCACATCCTCTCCGGTCTTTTCCTTCATCGCGGGTATCAAGGAAAAGTAATCAAGCCAGTGTCAATTCCTTGGCCCCGGCGTGGTTCAAGACCACATGCTGGGGCCCACAACGTACTAATGAAGTACCAACAAACCATTCCCACTTTCTGCTTTCTGATATTCAGAGACAGAAATGTCAAGAAATATATTACTGGGCACTTATAAAAAGCTTAATCTATTTTGTTAGACCATTTTCGGAGATATCCCTCACTAGCATTATTTTTCATAGAAAATCCTAGCGTAACTTATACAGAAAGTTAGGACTACTTCTGTCTTACAAGTTGACTTGTCTGGTGAACTTTTAAGACAAAAATAGGCCATCCCTCTTTTCAGTTTCATGGCTTAAATATCAGTCCTTGTCTTCCCGATATTATTTTGTCATGGAGGCTCATGTAGCCCCGTTGAACCAGATAAAATTGGCAATTCAACCGTCACTGCCTGACAAAATTACAGGTAAGCCTTTGCCATGTGTTTATTTCACCTTTTATTGACTCTGTATTGTAATCTTATGTGTTCTCGCGGTGTTGCTTTCATCAGCTGTAGCTAGAATACCGTATTTAATCGCGAAGAATCACTTCCTCCTGTTGACGTACGTCCGTGTAACTGGTCCGCAGATTTGTTGTTACTTATTTAAAAATCTCCTGTTCCACGGGCACTTAAATACAACACATTTCTTCTGAAAATTAAAAAGAATGATTTTGCCCACCAGTTCGTGGTGCAGTTACTTTAAATCATATGATAGGTGATTAATTTTTTTCATGATTGTTGAAGAGGAATATAAGATATTGTATTTGCAACATACAGCATTTTACTAAATGTACTTTTAATAAATCAAGATTCCAGCCTCCGTGTCCCGACAGTTTGTTAATTGACGTATTTTTTAATACCAGAATACATACTGTTTTTAAAAAAAACAGTCATCTGATTTTTTTGAAACATGTGGCAAATAAGAACCTACACTTGAGTTAATGATGGAAATCTATAATACACAAAGCTATTCGAGCGCACATTAAAATACCTCTAAAAAACAGTAAAAAGTTTTTACTAATCTTGTGCCAATATTTTTAAGAAAATTTTAATTATGCAGAACTATTAATTTGGCACGGAATATGATGATAACTATTTCAAATAGTTTGGCCGGTTACCTGTCCAATCGTTTTCAAGTGTTGAAATTCCACTAACTTCACAAGCTAACAGTCTAAAGACAACGGTCGCATTTGCCTCTTGGAAACGCGGAGTTATTATAATCTAGGCCTGCCCAAGAGTTCAACCGAAAACGAACTCCGTCAAAATGGCTAACTAATAAGTCGTCTTGCTCTGACAAATAAGGCGAATAATATGTCCTTTATATTCCATAATCCTGTGATTACTGGAATATATTTATTTTGACGTATTCAAACATGCGTCAACAATTATTGACTCAGTTGGATTTCTCATCTAATTGTGGACATTCTAACATGGGATTTAACTCGACCGTAAGTTGTTGTTGTTGTTAGCAGTCAAATTACCCTCCGTTATTTCCATTTTTTGATTGGGCAAACGCTATAGTTTTTCTCTGATGGTGCTGTAGTTTTCTGCGAGTTTAAACCATCAAAGGAAGATGAAATCCACATGGTCCATGCTAACTGAGTTTTGCATTTCTAATTAAACCAATGATTCCTGCACCTTGCAGTTCGCGCTCACGAACTAAAATTATCTACGAACGAAATGCGGTGTGATCACTTCTATAAACAGTTGAGACTTCTGTCTTTGGCCACCTTGCGCTTCTTGGGGTAATTCCTGTTGAATTGTGCCTTAACAATTGTAAAAGAATTCTAGATGCCCTTACAGAAAACCCTGGTTGTAGCACATTTCAAATGTCTTTAGATTCATAGATTTAGCATCGCCAAGGCTGCGGTTGTCAAGATTTGCACAATTTACGTATTTTTCGCAAGGAAACTGCGGTTTATGCACACAATATATCGTATTCATACTCCCTTTGAGTGTGCTAGTTCCTTTACCCACACCCAAGGCGTCCCACGTCATGGAATAAACGGGCGCATGTGAACGGACACTCGGCCTGTGGCTGAGATAGTACAATTTTGAAAGTGGTAATGTCTTATCTTAGCGTGGGGTGGTGCCGACTCCTACGTCTGTGTACTATTGTGCGAGGCTTACAACGTGCCAACGAAAGGACTTTTCAATCGGTATACCGGGAACCGTAACACCAAGTGAAGCTGAAGTCCGGCATTTTCCAACCTAAGACGTCGGCAAAGTATAATCGTTTTCCGTGTTCTCTGAAGCACGGCCACCTCATCCTCGTTTACATGGTTATGCGATGATTTCTCTTTAACTTGACGAAAGAAAGCAATGTTTGCATTGGCTATTGCGTGTTCAGAAGAAAAAAAATTCGCTATCCAACTATTTTTCGCCAATATCTCACTACGAAAATACGCTGAGTTGAACATTCCTTAGGAATGCACGTGTAAACAATGCGTTAAGTAGCCCCTTGATGCGTACCATGCGGTAATTTTACAAACCTATTCAAAATAGCGCAGTTAAACAAAACATTTGCTAATCATGCTCTGCGAACCTGATGGAGTGTGCGGCGTCAAACGTTTATTTGTTACTGTGTCAAGGCCATGACAGCTGCACTCTCAAAGCGATTAGAAGTGCAGAATGCTTTGGTGGTTTCACAATCATCCTAACTGGTGTGGAGGCGGCTGTTAATTAAATCTGCCAAGTCACACAGTTTGCTACACACTCCAATTCCCGTGATGTTTCGTCTTCCAAAATTGTGTTTGCGCAAATAGTTGATGGCTGCGTAACTTGGCAATAACTAATTGATAAATTGTTTCCTTCAAGTTACCCTCGTACGGGCCCGGGCTGACAGCTGTTGGTTCGGCTCGTTCAGGTAACTAAGGTGCCAATTGCAAATCGGACAGCAAAAGTAGTTTTCAACTAGCTACGACCGCCAATAGTTTTGCTCAGCGTTACAAATTGTGTCTGGAACTTGGTCTGCGAAAGATGCAACTCAAACTGTTTT